CCCCCCCCCCTAAAATTTTGGCTTGATCTGGCCTTGTCATTATCACTACCTCCATTGACAATACCACCACCACCACACCATCAACATTACTATCATCATCAAAAGCAATACYACTACATCATTATTACATTATCACATTACTTACTTTAAGAAAAACCTCTGAACTTATTGCTTCTTTCCTGAGGGATTCACTCAAATAGTAAATCGTATCCTCCACTGCATTTTCCTCTGCAAATAAGCTAAGTATCCTAAAAGTAGAGTAGAGAGTGCATGTAGATCATGATTTACAATATGTATAACATATCATTAACATAATCATATTCATCATCAATATTCAGTTGCATCATCATCATCATTATCATCAAGATCTTCACCATCATCACCACATCCATCATCATCTCACCCATCATCTCCACCATCATCAACTCCACCATCATCATCAATATCACTGACATCACCATTATCATCAGCACCATCACAATCACCACCAATTTCATCATCATCATCATCACTGCCACGACCATCGTCATTAACATCATCATTACCACCAACATCATCAGCACCAACTTCGTCACCAACTTCAACATCCACATTCATGTGGCTAGTCACAAACACAGCCATCACAAGCATTGCACGAGTCTATCCTAAATTTTATGACTAATTTCTGTAAAGAATTGAAAGGCCAAGAAAAGACCTTGTACACATACTGATTATAGAGTGGAGCTGTTGTTACTACAGCATCATCAATATTCAAGTTTTCTGATTCTCCTTCAAGCTTGGAAATAACGCCAGATATTTCTTCATTCTTCTGAGTCAAAACTTTAATGTTGTTTTCTACATCAGACTGAATATAACAGAAAAATATAACAGATTTTACAACTTTCTCTTCCCTATGTTCAACTCACACATACTACCACTTCATCCGAGGGGAGGGGGGTGGGTACTCCGCCAGAATTTGGGTAGGGGTGTAACTTTTTTTTTACAACCATAATAACCAGTTTTGGTCAATACGAAAGTAGAAACCCTGAATATGACAGGAAACTCAGGAAGAACTTGGAACTTGAGTGAAATTGCATACCCTGTTTATGATAAGGAGCTCGAAAAACCATACCCTGTTTAGTGGATCATCCCTGTATAGTCCATATATGGGAGTACCCCCCCCCCCCCCCCCCCCCCCCCCCCCCCCCCCCGGCACTTCATTCACTGTTTACAACACACAAACACAACTCTCAACTCACAAGTTGATTCTTAGAGGCAGGGAAACCTGAGAACCTGGAGGAAAATAACCTYGGCAAGGGAGCTAGAGAACACACACTTAAGTCACATGTTATTCAGTCTCTCCCTTGGTAATCTGTCATCCACAAGTCTAATAATTTCATTTTAAGTGGTAAATGAATACAGAGTACAGCTGTACCTGTTCCTTTTCTAGACTTCTTATCATATCTTCTAGTTTATTACTGCCTTGCTTCAACTGTTGTTGAGTTCTGTCCAGTTCATCTAATTCAATCTATAAAATAAGAACATAACTGTCATTTCCAATAGCATGCAAGAATCGTCCTAGTGACAAAGTAGGTTTTGGCACATTTGAAACTCTGTTTTTTTCCATGACATGGAAACATTTTGATTGAACTCCTCCAAAACTATATTGCAGTGATGGTAATTCACATAATCCTGTATGTCCTATAGTGCTTGCGCACCTTTTGGTGTAAAAAGCCGATGTTTTCTCATTTCAGACCATGTGTAATTCTCTATGAAATAAGATTCTTTGTTTGAGTTGTATCCATATTAATGTGTCTTCTCATGCACAACCATTAAACAAAGAAATAACACTCAAGGGGATGACACACGGTCTGAAATGGAAAAACATTGCACCCAAAGTAAAGAGGGTTATAGATAATAACTGTAAATAAATATTACATGCAAACTTACACCTTCCCTCAAGCAATTGTTACTACATAGAGTTTGATAAATTATTATGAAATAATTGGGATACGACGCACACTATGATTGGTCGAAAACCATGTTTGATGAGAGTATCAAAACACGCTATCGTCATTTTAGCGTGCGCAAGTATTGCAACTGTTTAAACTATCGCGCACGCTCATTGGTCAGTTTGAATAAGACAGCGTGTAGGGAGAATTTACTTATACTTTGCTTTTTGATCAATTAATAAACAAAACAAAATCAGCTCCCTACCTGTGCTTGTTCAATAGTAGCTTTCAAACTTCTCCTAAGCTTGTCTTCAACAGCAGAGATCAAGGAACGTTTGATTTGATCTTCAGAGATACTACTCTGAGTTTGCAGAAGATTTTGACTTGTCCTTTGAGAGGATGTGCTTGAAGGGGTAGACTGAGACACAGGGGGATAGCCCCCACCAGGGGATGGGTAAGGCATTGTTGGTACAGAGAATGAACTACTGTTGGAGGAGGTTGGTGGGTAAGGTGTTTGGTAGCTTGGTCTTTGTCCAGCATCTGCTACACAAGAATTGAAGGCAAAATTCGTGACATTTTAAAAATGAAGTTTTTGGTAAATTCCTCAGAGAATGCAAATTTCCTTCAGTGACTTGAGTCACTTTCACATATGCTGGGTTTATGACAAGAAATAAGTTTTTTATTTGCATTTTTCGTGAGGTTTTTTAAGCCAAGTTGAGCCCTTTGTTTGACCTCGATCATGTGAAGTGATGATGATGGTGATTAGGATGGTGATGATGCTGGTAATGCTGGTAATGAGGATGGTGATGGTGATGATGAGGATGAAGATGATGATGATGAAGATGGTGATGATGATGGTGTTAGTGATGATGGTGATGATGATGATGGTGTTAGTGACGATGGTGATGATGATGATGGTGTTAGTGATGATGGTGATGATGGTGATGATGATGATGATGGTGATGATTATGATGATAATGATGATGATGATGGTGATGATGATGGTGATGAGGATGGTGATGATGATGATGATGACACAGTACCAATAACCAAACATTGATAATGATGATGCAACTGAATATTGATGATGATTATAGATGATGTTGATGATTTTTTAACATCTCAGAGTCTTATGGCTAGGCACAAATACCTTACTAATTGGGGAGACCTACTTTAATACTCCCTTCAGTATTATCATGTTATTTATGGATTGCGGATAATCTCTAATATGGAATATGGATATTAGGTACAGTAACACAACAAAGGTTTAAAAACTCAGCCGTGTTTAATATACAATTACCTGGCATTGGCATTGACATAGGTGACGGCATACGGGGACTGTTTCCAGGTGGGTAGGGTGGGGTATTTGAAAGGGAATATCCCATTCCAAACTGTTGACGATAATCTGTCCGTTGTTGTTGTTGTTGTTGTTGTTGTGGGTGATAACCTACTGGTCTTGAATATACTGGCGGTTCTTCAGCAAATATGCAGCATAATATTTGAATAAGAGATGTTAAATCTGATCCTGGCTGGAAAACAAAACAATGAAGGTCATCAGCAATGATATTGATTGCCTTCAAAGTAAAAACATGGCTTTACCAGCGTTTGCATTGCTACACGGCCACCCCAGATAAAAATCGCAACATGCACTTTGCAATAGACTGCCGTCAATCGAACAAGTTGATGTCATTTACACGCGTTTGGATCGGTCCGGATAGGCCCTACGAGTGTGGCTCATAATACTAATTTGTAAACAATTGACTGAAGTTTTGGCGCCTTTTGAATCACACACGCGTGTAAGTGGGGTCAACATGTTTGATTGACGGCAGTCTATTGCAAAGTGCATGTCGCGATTTTTGTCTGGGGTGGCCGCGTAGCAATGCAAACGCCGTTAATAATAAATGAGTGTTAACGTCAAAATGGGGTTAGTATTGTGACAAGATATGCTAGAGACTCTATTTAAACTAGCCTTGCTAAACTAGATGTGCCTGTACTTAAATATTGATTTAAATAAATAAATAAAAGCTTAACATAAGTTAAGAAAAAAAAGAGCACTTACATGAGTCCATTCTGCCAAATATGGCAGAAAGACTTTTCCTGAGTTATCAACATGTTTGGACACTTTTATCGCCATTCCAGTCGTTGGACGGACAAATACCATAGGTGGAATGAATGGGTGTGTCTCTTGAAGAAATATACACACTGGAATATTGTAGATGTTACCTATATAACAGAAACCAATCATCATGGTTTTTTTTTTGAGATTTCATTAAAAAACATATGGGGAAGCTGTGTGCCATAAAAACTGATAAACTGTGTTTGAAGAAGCATGGCATGTACAAGTAGCAGAGTACTTGAACTCAACACTTCTTAAATATCTACCAATCTGTTAAGTGTTTTATAATTTTACACTAAACTGGCAAGCAAGTTTTCATTCCTTTGAAAAATACAAATTACAAAAATAAAAAAATACAGAATAGACATCATTTTGGTTGTGAATAACAAGTGTCTACCGCGTAACTGTGCTCTCATAGAGTTCGCAACAACCACAACCAAACAATCAGAAATTGAGAATTATGACTTTCACAATATTATAATAAAAGGTTTTAGAAAATATGGACATTGTTAATCTTAATAACATGTATAACAGCACTTACTCCTAAAGTTAACTGGAATTGTTCCCTCAAGAATGAATAAATCAGTTTGTCTACCATCATTGTGAACTAAGAGGAATTAACACCAAAATATAACATGGTTAATTTTTATTCAATAATTCAGACTTACATAGAGCAGCATGGAATTCCATGTAAGAGTCAATTCAAATGCACATTCTATGATTTCAGTGATTTGTTAGATTCAAAAATATTCAAGCTTTTCATGTGCAAATGTTAAACATAGGAATGGCATAATTCTAGAGAATGACCACGTGGTCTGGAATGGGAAAACATTATGTATGCCCAGGGTATCAAGAGGTCTTATATATGTCTTGTCGATATCAAACATATAGAAAGCTACAATGTGTGTGGCTTTACCAAATTTTTCTGTTGATGGTCGTAGGTCTTTGTACACTGCCATTGCTGCAAGGATCTGCCTTTTACACATCTCTTGATGTGGGTACTGCAAAAAAGATATTTTAAACTTATTTAAAATTTTATTTTAATCTTTCTTCATAAAAAAAAGATATTACAACTGTTTTCATTGTTATGCACCGATCGAATTGAGACAAAAGACATGACAGGTTAAAGGGCAATAGAATACCATCAAATCCAATTATGGATAGTTTTCAGAGCTGCCATGTTGAATGAATTTAGAAAAGATTTGTCATCAGTCTCCTTTGTTGTACCATCCAACATGGCCGCCGTGTCTTTTGCTATTTCATTCTCTTGAGAATGATTACAAACCTGCAATTACATTGAACAACATAAAACAACAGTCTCTGGTATATTTTACATAAAGGACAGCTCAGAATTCGACATTTATTTAGACAGCTGACATTAATGGTCATCTTGTAAGCCATAATTATATAACCAAAACGTTGGATGTTTCTACAAATGTATGTTTCTACAGGTTTATACAGTAGAACCTATCTGCATCCCCAGGGGACATGTAAACTGATTAACTGGTACCCTAAACTCGAGTTAAGCATATCTAACACGACAAGCGAGACTTAAAAACCGAAATTCTGCATCAAATCGAACGCTCGATTMAAAGAAATCTTCAAGATTTCAGCTTATCGTTCATAAATTAATACAAATTTCGGAGAACTAGAACATCTCATGAATAACGTTCATAAATATTAGTGTATTTTAACCTACCATTCGCAGTTTATCCCTTAAAAATGGCTCCCAGCTCATCTTGATTCCTTTATCTTTAACACAGTATTACCATTGGGTTTATCTAATATAAATGATCTTTTACATTCGTAGTTTGTTTTCGTGAAAATATTTTTTGTCAACCAGAAGTAAAATCAAACCAAGATGGCGGACTACTCCCCAGGGCACATCGGAGTCAATGACATCATTATTATTAAGATCTGCTGACCGATATTTTTATTGTGCGTGGGCCATCTCACATGACCTTTAAGAGCACCGAAACTACAAAATATGACAAATCAATGTATTTTTTTGTTTTTATGTCAAAAATATCCATGCATTATTGTAGAATGATTGACTAGCCTTCATTCGTGCAATCATAGAGTCTACAAATAGTCAGGTCTCTTATGGCAAAATATAGGTCCCATCGTGACAGAAGTGACAAAAGCGCCAAATTTGGCAGAGATGTTCCTTAGGATCCACTAAATAATGTTAGAGGGGGAGC